AACACCGCATGTTCTCACTCATAGGTGGGAACTGAACAATGAGATCACTTGGACTCGGGAAGGGGAACATCACACACCGGGGCCTATCACAGGGAGGGAGAGGGGGGAGGGATTGCATTGGGAGTTATACCTGATGTAAATGACAAGTTGATGGGTGCTGACGAGTTGATAGGTGCAGCACGCCAACATGGCACAGGTATACATATATAACAAACCTGCACATTATACACATGTACCCTAGAACTTAAAGTATAATAATAAAAAAAAAAACTGTAAATTTCTGCTTTTTTATAAACAGTGTTAGGAAGAATTACAGGATAAACCAGTCTGGGAGAAAATATTTTCAAAGCCTATGTCCGATAAAGGACTTTCTCTAGATGTATAAAGAACTCTCAAAACCCAATAATAAGAAAACAACCCAATTAAAAATGGACAAAATAGGCCAGGGGCGGGCGCAGTGGGTGACTCACGCCTGTAATCCCAGAATTTTGGGAGGCCGAGGCAGGTGGATCACCTGAGGTCAGGAGTTTGAGATCAGCCTGGCCAACATGGCTAAACTCCATCTCTACTAAAAATACAAAAAGTTAGCCAGGCATGATGGTGGGCACATATAATCCCAGCTACCTGGGAGGCTGAAGCAGGATAATCGCTTGAACCCAGGAGGCAGAGGTTGCAGTGAGCCGAGATTGTGCTGTTGCACTCCAGCCTTCATGACACAGTAAGACCTTGTCTAAAAAAAAAAAAAAAAAAAAAGACAAATGGACAGATGGCAAATAATCACACACAAAGACGCTTGATGTTACTAGTGATTTGTGAAATGCAAATGAAAATTACAGTGAGATATCACTAAACACTTAATAAAATAACTATAATTGAAAGAAAAAACCTGATGATGCAAAGTGTTGCTGACACTTTGGAGGACTTAGGACACTCATACACCAGTGGTGCAAAAGTAATATGGTACAACCACTCTGCAAGACAGTTTAGCAATTTTATTAAAAGTTAAACATACAACTACTATATTTATTAAGATAAAAGAAAGCATATATCCATCTGAGTAATTGTACACAATTGTTCATAGCACTTTATTTTCTATAATAGCCCCAAACTGGAAATAACCCACTTATTTATCAACAGATGAATGTATAAACACACTACTAGAATATCCAAACAATGTAAATACTACTCACTAATAAAAATGAGCAACATATGGATACAGCAATATGGATGGATCTCAAAATAATTCTACTGAGGACAAGAGGCCAGACAAAAAAGAAAGCATGCAACAATTAGGTTTACAAAAGGATGGAAGTAAAATTTTGGGAGAGATGGATATGTTCATTTTTACTGTGGCTGCTGTTTTACAGGTGTATACATACGTTAATATGTATCAAAGTGGATACTAAATATGTGCAGCTTATTGGGTAATTATTGAGCAATTACACCTTAATACATCTGCTAAAAAAATCTGGCAGACTTTTACGCAGAATATACAAAGAACTCTCACACCTCAATAAGAAACAACACAAAATTTGGCAAAATATTTGAATAGACATTCCACCAAAGAAGATATTTTGAATCATCCATAACCATACTATAATGATTAAAATTACAAAAACTGGTACAACTTAAAATCTCATGCATTGTTGGTAGAAATGGAAAATGGGTATCTACTTTGGAAAACAGTTTTGAACTTGCTTATAAAGATAAATCCACACTTAATCATACATAGCCATGCAACCCAGCAATTCCACTCCTGGGTTTTTCCCTAAGAGAAATGATAACATATGTCCACAAAAAGCCTTGTCCATGAATGTTTATAGCGGCATTGTGCATGGTCACCAAAAACTCAAAACATCTCAAATGTTCATTAACTTGCAAATGGATAAACAAATTGTGTTCTCTGTATACAATGAAATATTATTTAGCAACAAAAAGGAAGGAACTACTGAACCTCAACAGAAGTAGGAACTACAGCTCAGATATGAATATCAAAAACATGCTATGGTAAAGAAGCCAAAAGTGAAAAGACTAATAATATATTTATATGAAATCCTAGAAAAAGCAAAACTATAGTGCAGAAAGCACAGTAGTTGCCTGAGGCCATGTTTGGGGAAGGAGGTAGATTGCAAAAGGGCACAGGGAACTTG